AAGTGGCTGCTTCAACAAAGCAGTCAGGCTCAGGTTGCTGTGGTTCCATCCCCACAACTCAAGCCAGCCAAACCTGCCCTGAAGGCATTTGGAGCCAAAAAAAAAAAAAAAAAAAAAAGCCACAGTAATCCAGTGCAGTGCTGACATGAATCCAGTTGCCCAGTGTAATAAAAGAAATGGGACCGAGTAAATCCCACATACATGGTCATGGGACCCCGTTATTGGTATTTGGTTTTGTTTGATTGGTTTTCACAGCATTGGGACTTGAACCCAGGGCCTTACGCATGGTAGGGAGTTATTCTACCACTGAGCTACATCACAGCCCTACTTATTTTGAGACAGAGTCTCATTAAGTTGCTCAGTCTGGTCTTGAATTTTTAGTCCTCTTGCCTCATCTTCCCAAATATCTGAGATATTTGTGCCACTGGATTTAGCACAAAACCATTGAGTCTTTTTAATGAATGAAACTAGATACTGACATGTAAAAGATTTACATTGAAGACAGGAAGTCAATAACAAAGAGCTGTTTTTTCATGAAAAAAGCAACAGAATCAATGAGACTTCATTCAAGCTAAAGAAAAAGAGTTATAAATTGTTAATATCAGAAAGTAAAAAGGATATCACTACAGGTTCTATATATACAAAAAGAATAATAAAAGAATATATTGAACAGATCTATACACACAAATGTAAATCACCAATTTATTAAAAACAATTATCTTCTGAAATGAAATAATTAATATTCCCATCCAGGCATGGTGACACATGCCTATAATTCCAGCTGTCTGGGAGGCTGAGGCAGGAGGATCAAAGTTTGAGGCGAGCCTGCGCAAGTTAGCGAGACCTGGTTTCAAAACAAAAATTTTCAAAAGGGCTAGAGATGTGGCTCAGTGGGGAGGCCCTGGATTCAATCCCCATATCCCTAATTAAATATTAATTACCATAACTTTCAAAAACAGAAAACATCTGAACCAGATGGGCTTGGTGATGGATTTTACATATAATAAATATACTTTGAAAAGGAAGGAAATTATGTAAAGTACCTGGAGTAGACAAATTCACAGAGGTAGAAAATAGAACAGTGGTTTCCAGGAGCTGGGGGAGGGAGGGAGTGGGGAGTTGTTTGTGGGTATAGAGTTTCAGACTTGCAAGAGGTGAAAGTTTAGGTTGATTGCACAATGTGAATGTACTTAAACAGAACTAAAGCACACATTGTAAAATGGTGAAGATGGTAAACTTTCTGTGTATTTTACAATTTTCTCTTTTCAAGTGGATCCACAGGGTGGAGTTGTGCAGCACTGGCTGGGCCGCAGCAGGCCGTTAGAAGGCCCACAAACCCTCTTGCCCACGGCCAGTGCACACATTGCTCCCTGGTACAGGATCTGGAGCTGGGCCTACTGCCTTTGGATTTGAGCTCTGACATTGAGAGTGATGCAACCTCTGGCAAGTCACCCAGCCTTTCTATGCCCCGCCAAGGTGGGATACTAGCAGTATCCTAAGCTGCAGGTCCTGTGAATGAGTTTTTATTACACGTAAGGAATTAAAAGCCCTCTGCCACTATTAGCTATTATAAATCCTTTCAGTGTCTCTCACTGCCCCCCCCCCCGCCCCAAGATCTTTAAGGGACAAAGCTACTCCCAGCAACCTAAAGGCACTGGATTCAGTTTCTTCTTAAAAGCATGCTGGCTCTGGGATCCCACACAACCTTGCACCAAAGCTTTGAAAACTCAAGTCATGGGTGGCTCTGAAGCCAGAGACTCTGGACACCAATTTCTTGTCATATCACTCCCTGAACCCCACACCTTGGCCTTAGGACCTGAGAAGCCAAGCTGGGCCCTAGTAGTCAGTCCCTTGGGCCCAGGAGTGGCCCAATTCCTTTGCAAGTCCCAAGGGATTTGATCATCACAGATGAACTATGCATATCCACCCCCCATCCCCCCACGGCATAGACAGGGAGCGGCAGAGCGGCCAGCACCTCTGCACACACAGACAACGGGAAGCCGGAAGTGCTCCTGGGGACAGCCTTGGCCAACTGGTGCCAGTGATCCTGGGCACTACCTGGTAACAGGAGAAGCTGAGTGCCATTCAGAGTACAGGGGCAGTCCTTCCTGACCACAGCTCTGGGCTGTGCAGTTTTTTAGCCAACAGTAGTCTAGATGGAGTACCCAGCAACAAGATTTCATACAGATAAGAATGAGACTGCTACTCCATGGAGGGAGTGCCAGAGTTTTTCCTAAGAACAGGGTCATCTAGACATCAGGGCCCCCTGTGCCCATCCAACCACTGACCACAGCCTGGACAACCAAGCCCAGACAGGTGGGCTGTGCACCTCCCTCCAGGGTCCCTGAGGGTTGGGGCGCTGGACCAGTATGACCCCCATCACCCTAAGGGCCTAGCCACTACAGAACTTAGAGAAGCTGAGTGGCAAAACAGTTCTTCTCACTCAGCTCTTACCCTGCCAGCCCCAGCAAGCAGCCCATGCCCTGAGATTATAGGCCTGTGTACCATGAAGAATGGCCTTCCTTTTTGAGGGTGAAAAATATTTCACAGCATAGAGCATTTTCTGTATCCACCCATTTGTCCATGGATGCTGGGCTGTTTCCACCTCTTGGGCATGGTGAATACCACTACCATGAATATAGGTGTGCACATGTCTCTCTGAGTGCTTGCTTCCATTTCTATGGGGTGCAGACCCAGAAGTAGAATTGTTCCCAGAGATCACATGGGGTCCCTAAACCATTGGCCAGTAAGTTCTGACTAGGGTTATTCTCTGTCCCGCCTCTCCTCTCCCCTTAAACACGCCCCTATGCAAATGTAATGATTTATCAGATCTCACCCAAGTCTTCTATGACAGTGGTCCCCAACCTTTCATAGAAAGGAATTTCTATGGAAATTCATGGAAGACAATTTTTCTACAAATGGAGATTGGGGTAGGAAATGGTTTGGGGACTCAAAGGAGCCTGCACCCTAGATCCTGCACCTGCACAGTTCATAGTTCTTCGCGCTCCTATGAGAATCTAAAGCTGCAGCTCAACTGACAGGAGGTGGAGCTGAAGCAGTATCATGGGAGGTGGGGGCAGCTATAAATACAGATGAAGCTGTGCCTCCTCACCCACTACTTGCCTCTTGCTGTGTGTCCAGCTTCCTAACAGGCCCTGGAGCACTACCAGTCTGTGGCTGGGAGGAGGGGGATGCCTGCTCTAAGGACCTGAACGGGCCCCTGAGAAAGCACTGCCTGGGAGTCAGGAGCCCTGGTTCCTCCTGGGGTTGCCAGGATGGCTTCCTTCTTCCCTTCTCTGTCTAGGTCCTGCTCTCACGGTGAAGAAAGATTGCTAGTGCAGGAAACTGCCGAGGCCCTGCCAGCACTGCCATTCTGTGACTTAGGAAAACTCCCAGGCAAACCTAGTGGGCACAGAGACAATGGGGGAGCCGTGCCAATGCGCTCCAGCCTGCCCCAGCCAGCGCCGTGTACCCAGCCTCCACCTCCAGTCTGGAGCACTGGATCCTTGCCCTTGGATGCCAGGTACAGGGTTCACCCTAGATTTGGCTCCCCCTCCCTCTTGGTTTCCCTTCCTACCCCCCACCAGAGCTCAGGCAGGACTGGGCTCCTGTCCCTCACAGGTCCAGCTCTGACTCCTTCAGGGGATAAGGACACGGGGGCTGCGGGCTGAGCCTGGTCCAGTGAACGCACGTACCTTCAAGGTCTCCTGTTTCTTGTGCATGAGGAAGGCTACCACAGCTGCACAGCTGCGACTGATGCCCCTTGTGGAAAACACCAGAATGACGGAGCCCAGGTGGAGGTGAATTTCTGCAGAAGGAAGGGAAGAAAGGGTGGTGTTTACACAGCCCTATCCCTGCAGTCCTGGGTGGCTGTCAGAACACTGGCCATGGTGGCCTGAAGGCCTGAGTTCACAGCAAGCAGTATGGGACTTGGGCAAGTCACGTGGCTGCTCGGAGACACACCGGCTAGCACAGGGGGGTCCTCGGGCCTGGCACGCAGCTCTGGAGAATCCTGCCTAGGTGCCAGCTTCATCAGGCCAAGGTCTTTTCCTAGCTGTCCAGGATTCTCACCCAGGAAGATGGGCCACCAGCTGACCTAAGCATGACAGGGCTACCACTCAAGGCCCCCTAGCACTAGCACAGCAGCACAGGCCAGATGTGGGCAAATCCTTTCAAACCAGTTTCCTCATCTAGAAAGCAGGTCAACAGCATATACCTTCCTCCCCTGTGGTGTTTTATTCTATTTCATGATTAGCCCAGTGCCTGGCATAGAAATGCCAGCTATCACCCTACAGTCCCTGAGGCTGTGAGTCCTGCCCAGGTTGGCCTGGGAACCCCCAAGACTAAGGGTAAACATACCAAGTGAAAAAACACAGACTGTCGAGGCTGGAAGAGACTTGGAGATGATTAAGGCCAATCCCCTCCTGGCACAGATGAGGAAATTGAGGCACGATCAGTAAAGGGCTGGCCTGAAGCTGCCCAGGGAGGTGAGGCGAGGGAGAAGTGCCTCCATACCAAAAGGCTCTGCCATCCCATGGTACGGCACACAGAAACCTGAGACTCGGGTTCTAGTCAAGTGACAGTGGTGGTATTCTGGGAAAATAAGGGGCAGTGGACTACAGCGCCATTTCCGGTAGCTCATGCAGGCACTCAGGCCAGGGGCTGTGCTGGCGCCAGGCAGGAAGCTCGGGGTGTGGCCTCCATTCTGACTCAGGCTTGCTGTCCCAGGGATCTTGCTTTCCCAGACAATCCCAAGACTGGGGGACTAAAGTTCCACTCTCTGCATGTTAAGCAGTTAGCAGGCCTCAATTGTGTGCAGTGGCAGACAGAGAGGGACAAGGAACAGGGGGAACTGTGGAAGTTGGTGTTGGAGAGACCCTGGCAGTCTTCTTCCCCCATCCACGGGGCGGAACAGGGATGGGCTCAGGGATGGTCTGAGATCCATGACACACACCCACCCACAATCAAAAGGGCATGGCAGGGGCCAGAGACATGGCTCAATAGAATAAGAACTTCCCTGGCAAGCGCAAGGACCTGAGTTCAATCCCTGGTTCCACCAAAAAAAAAGGTACGGCAGTCGCACAGGGTCAGAACACAGGGCATTGGGCACACAGCCTGATGCTGTCACTGGACCTCCAGGAAGCCCCATGGCTGCTCCATTGCTCAGGGCTTGTCCATGCTGGGCCGGGCCAGTGTCCTCCCTAACCTGAGCACTGGGAGTCACAACCAGGGAGAGGCCTGAGGAGGAAGCATCACAGCCTTCTGTCTCCTCAGTGAGGCAAGTGGCCCTCCTGTTAGGGAGCACTCCTTACCGATGAAGTGACAGAGGTGGCGGAAAAAGGGCAAAATCTTGGATTCTGAGGAATCTTCTATCTTGATGTGCAGAAGCTTGTCAGGGTCACCCACGAAGCTAAGCAGAAGAACACAGGTAACTGGGCAGACTTACTGACACCCCATGGTGGCAGTCCCTGTCTACACTGCAGGACCACAAGTGACTCTGAGCTTCCCCCAGAGAGGGTAGTGTGATGTGGATTGAGTGGGTTCATCTGTGGATGGCATCACCAACCCGGATGGCATATAAGAGGTGCCCAATAAATACGACATCATTATTATTAACCAAAAGCATGGTACTTCCCTCAAACATGGTACAAAAATCATTAAACAAGGGTGAGAAAGCATAACTAAGGGCCTTGGAGACTGAGCCTGCTGTGCCAGGTGCTGGGAGCAAAAGAAGAGGGAGGGAGATGGTGTACTGGCTGTGGCAAGTACAGGACTTGGGGGAGCTTTGCAGAGGCGACACTAGAGCATAGGTGACAGAGGAGAGGGACCATGCCAAGCAGGTATCTGAGGACATGTTCCAAGTAATGCAGAAGGCAAGTGAGAAGGCCCAAGAAGAAGAGTAGTCAACAGATCTGAGAAAGAGCAGAGATCGGAGTCGCTGGAGCTTCCTGGACAAGGCAGAGAGAAGAAGGCCACCACGGGTGTGGCCGCCTACAAGGAGCTCAGCACACCGCCTGGCACACACTAAGTACCCGATAGAGGGTAAGCATGAGCGCTGTGGTCCACTGGTGACATTCGGGAGTATGCAGAGCACTGTGGCAGCAAGCTGGGTCAGTTCCTGATGAGCACTCGCCGAGACAAATGCAAGCACAACTCACCATCCTGCCCCCTCCCTCCCTCCCCGGGATCCACCTCTCCAACATTCGCTCAATGCCCATCCTGTGCCAGACCTTGGGCTGCGCACTCCTACATTCAGGGCTCTCCCTTTTTGATGGGGAAGCAGACATGTGAACACTTCCCATCCGATTGACTACGTGGTGGGCTAACACTGGGATGGGGGAGTATCACAACGGAGGAGGCTTCGGACAGAACACAGAAGGGTGCACAATGAAGCTCTAAAATCCAGTTGAGTCTGTATACACTAGCAGCGGGGAGAGCCTGACATTTGGGGTTTTCTGTTTGGTTGGTTGGTTTGGGTTTTTTTGAGACAAGGTCTCATTATGTCCTTCAGGCTGGCTACAACTCTCAGCAATTCTCTTGCCTCAGCCTCCCAAGTGCTGGGATTATAGGTATGCAGCACTTGACATTTTAAAAGTACCATATTTCCTGCTTTACCTTGGTCTTAACCATCCAGTAGAAAAGTATGAAGTCGAAATATAAAAAATAAAGCCATGCTGTTAAGTTGAGCTGTGGGGGA